CAGCTGTGCTGGGCCTTGGATGCGAAGCGACCTCTGGCCCAGGGTTTCTAAGGCCCTCACCGCCCTCATCAGGTGAGCAAGAGGGCAAGCGCCCCCCACCGGGCCCCAGGCAGCCGTCAGGGCTGGAAGGAGAGGGAGCAGAGGCAGAGGCGCCCTCACAAGCCGCTCCCCACACCACAGCCTCCAGAACCAGCACTGGGGGGCTCCCTTGTGTGACTGGCAAACTTCCTGGCGGTGAGTTTAGAAGGACTGGGGTGGGAAGCCAGGGTGGAGGCAAGAGGACCACCGCGCCGGGCCAGGAAGGAGCGGGCGCTAAAGCTGCAGACCTCAATGCCGAGTCCAGGGCCTCCGCCCAAGGCTGTGATTCAAAGTGCCGCATGGTCCAGGCCCCGTTCCCTCCCAAACGCCCCCATTCAAAGGCTGAAGAAGTGGGGCACAAGGCCCATGCCGGGGGAGCCCCAGGCTGCCCTGGAAACGGGCTCCCCACAGAGGCCTGGAGAAGGGAGGCGCGATCAGGCTGAACTCTCGCTGCGGGGGGTTGGCGTCACGGCGGTCTCGTGAAGCTCAAGCAGGAATAAGAGGTTTCCACGTCCCCGGGAAAGGCCTCCTGCTTCTGAACCAACCCCAGCCAGGGTCTGCAGGGGCATGGGGATGGGGAGCCAGGTGTGACGGGCGCCGGGGGCTGCAGCGGAACCGTCTGTCAGATGCTGCTTTCCCTGATCACATGGAGAACAGGGACACAGAGGCTGGGCAGAGGGACCTGTGCCTGAAGGCCGTGCCCCTGGAAGGGGCTCCTGCTGACAGCCTCCTGCCCCGGGCTCTCCGCCTCCCAGTCTCGGGCCTGGCAGGTGCGGGTGGAGGCCGAGGTGCCGCCAGCACCTGTCCCGCTCCAGGTCCCCTAGCAGGGAGCCGGCCGGATGGGGACAGGCACTGTGTTGTGGAAGGCACTGGCACCAGGCCCTGGCACCTCGAATCCTCCCTCCAGCCCCCGTCCATGCAGGCCCAGCACCTCCACCCCCTGCCCTGCCCATGGTGGGCTGGCTGCCACTCCCGTGCACCTGCACACAGAGGGCCAGGTCTTGCTCTGAGGCAGGCGCTGGGGCGCTGGCTGCACTTGGGTGTCCCAAGTGGTTTTCGCC